GTAGTCTTCTGCCCCCTGTTATCAGGTGTATCTGATTGTGTACAATAGGATTTTGAGCAAAGTTTTTTCCATTAAATTAAGCAAAAGGTGTCAGAGGCAACACATTTCAGAAACCGTATGAATCACATATGATACATTTGGCATTATAGGGTTAACAGTTAACTGGAGAGATAGTACAAATTACTACTCAAAGACCACCAAGTGTATTTTTATTTTTTTTAAACTAAGCACTTACATTGACATTTGCCATCTTAGTTGTACATTTTTAGCTTTTTTAAGCTTATGTGTATCATTTTTGTACCTTTATTTCTTTTATTTTTGTGCTATCTTGCGTCTGGACAGAGCTAAATCTAAATACTCCTCTTGTTCTTGGATTGTGCTAAAAGCTTGGTGTGTTCTCTGGTCTTTTCTTGCTTTATTTAATGACATCACCCAGATTCAAGGCCTGAAAAGCACCTGGTCAGGAACACCATTAAGAACAAGCAGCTGCCTGGAAGATAAAGGTAAACAGCAGCCCCTCCACACACTCTGTGAGGGTCTGACCCTTTATGTGGTTTGTAGAGTTTGTTATCTTTGAAAGCCAGAGCTTGAGCAAATCTGGTCTTATCTCTCTTTGTGGCAGCATTTTACACCAAACAGGCAGCCTGAGGGAGAAAAGTCGGGGGGGCTGCAAACAAAATAAGTGTCTGATACTATATTGAGGGTTGGAAATTAGATTTGAATGGCAAAAAACTTATTTTTTCCTGTGGAGAACTGACTGAAAAATGTTTACTGAACCCTTAAAAAAATGCAAACCAAGGTTTGAAATTCAAACTGATTTGAAAGCAATCATAATATCACTTTTGAATTTCTGAGAGCTAAAAAAACAAAACAGAAATTCTTGGAAAAGTCTTTACTCACCAAAGATTTTCTGAATTTACCTGTAGTTCGGCTTTATATATTGAATAGCTCATGCTCCTGGATTTGGTTGACAACTGTCTGTGTTTAACCCTATAATGCCAAATGTGTCATATCTGATCCGGTTTCTTTTGGATCTGAGACTTTTTGCATCATTCAGTGGTAAAAGCTTTGCTCAAACCCCTGTTGTACACA